CTAATTTGTCTCAAGCCTACTCTGTCTATGTATTGTTTAGAGTTAAGATTATACGTAGATGAGAGAAGCAAAAAATTAAAATAAAATAAAAAAAATTAAGGGCGAAATATGGGCGCTATTTGCTGTTGCTGCTGCTACTTTTTGAATATGAAATATAAATTTCTATCAATTCATCATCTCTTTTCAGCCCTGCCTGCCAACAAATATTTATACGGCAGTATTACTACTATTTATAATTTCCTTTCTATGATCATTAAAAAAGTAACGAAATTGATAAATGATAATGATTTTGTTGAATCTCTCTGGCAGATTATAATCAATCTGATCATCCTTTTTTGTAAATTCATCCTTTCTAGGCCTCAGAAGGCCTGTTAATGTTCATTGTAATATGTGACATTTGGCAAAATGTGATGAAAAATTACTGATAAAAATTAAAATCTAAGAATGGGATTGAATATATTTCACGTTTTTAATGAAAATGCTAATACTAAAAGATAAGATTTGAATAGTTTTCTTTTGAAAGAAAAAAATGGTAAAAGGGCAAGGCATGGGTCTGATCTTAGATAACGTGACAGCTTAATTTTTGGATTTACCGCGAAAAGCATTAGTTTTAATCGTTACAGCTGAAACATTTGTGGTGAATAAAAAAGGAAGAAAAAAGTGCTGAACTAAAATTAATAATTTGAAGGGAATAAGTTTATTGACTATTTGAGAGTTCGTTAGTTTCATAGTTGAAATGAAACAGATTTTGTGAAGATAAATTACTGTAAAATGAATTTTATGATAAAACAAGCATTACTTATGACATCTGCTTTAATTACCCACATCCTTTTGATTTATGCCGCCATATCTACTGAGATATTTATCAAATTCATTCAGCAAATTAATATTCATTAAATCATTACCGTAACATTAACAATCGAGATATTTATTTACTGAGATGATTAGAATATTACTTTACTGATACATGCAATAATACAATGAAGGGAATGATTGCATGAGACGACAAGTTACTAATTACTTTGCGTAAGTATTCTTACGAAAAGCTTATTTACAATACAACTTTTAAAAGTTGAAGAAAGATCTTACAGCATGTCTCAAATTAATTTCTCGATTACTCAAACTTTGTTTTTCTCCATCTTTTTCCGGTTTCTAAATTTACGGTTCAGAATTTGCAAAAGAACAAATCGATGTAATAAGCTTTCTGATCACTCAGTTTCAGCAGTTTTACTGAGAATTATGAAGTGTTTTTTTCCTTTTTTTTGAAATATCATCGAATAACTAACTCAAAAGATTGATAAATTGTAAAAGGAAATGAGTTGAACTTTTAAAAACAATCCGTTTGTTTGAATTGTTTATTTTGAAGTACTGATATGATAAAGTTTGTCCAGAATTTTCATTCATTCATTTATCCAATTTAGCAGTATCTCTATCATTAATCGACAGCATAGGATTCCCTCATCCTCTTCAATAATTTACAGTTTTTTAAATCTCATCCTATGCATTCTAATTTGCCCGATTCCTTGTTCATATAATAATGGATGATGCATTGTGAAAAGCTGCCACACTATAATCAATTTCCAAAAGTACATTCAACGAACTTATTAATTTGATTTTGCTATTGAAAGGATGATGTGAGGAGAGAGTTGAGTGTTCGACTCTCCTCTCATTATCCTTTTATTATTACTTTCTTGTTTTATCATCCTATCACGTAACTTTTATTTTCATCTTAATTTATATCAATTAAAGCATTTCGTAAGTAACAAATCATTTTTTCATTGAGTATTTTTGCTCGAATGATTTTTTCAATCGTTTCTTCATTTTATTCACTTTTTACGACAAAGAAGAAAAATTCATTCTTAACTCTTAGATGATGAAATATAGAAATAATAATAATTTCTCAAAGGCATCATTACTTCAGTTACATTTGATAGTTTCAAAAATTAACTGAACTCAGAAAATTGTGAAAGCATTAATTTTAACCTATGACCCATGTGGTGCAATAAATTAATTATGAACAAAATATGCGGTAAATAAATTAAATAAGTGTGCAGAGATAATTTTAGGAACAACAATTCTATTAATAGGAATTATTACTCTGTAGGAATGCTACAGATAAATGATGATTATATTTCATCATCACATTTCCTCAATCTTATTAGTTAGTATCGGACGAAGCATATTTTGATTCCAAATAATAAGGGCAAAAGAAAGAAACAATAAAAGTTAGACAGCTTTAGAGTAATTAGTGCAATATGTACTTTTTGAAAATTATACAGCTATAATTAGCATGTGTAAGTAAGTACAATTGTTAAAAGATCTATTTACTGAATTTAGAGTGTTAGTGACATTATATTTAAAGATGGAAGAGAGAGGGAGAGGGGAAGAAGAAGTTGGGATGTCATTTTAGCGCTCAATTGAAAAATAGAAATGATCTAAACATACTTCCATCTCTTCCATTTCTTCCAAAATTACCTGCCTGTCAACTATCTCTCTTTATTTTATCATATAAAAAAGGCTGAAACTGCCTAGTAACATTTATGGTGCCATCGCCAATTTTCAAGAAATGTATTTAATTTGATGATGTATGTGTGTGTGTGTGTGTGTGTGTGTGTATGTATATATATATATGTGTGTGTATGTTTGTGTATGTGCGATAGCACAGAATGTCATGTGATGTGATAATAGCGCCGCCATCAATCGGTATACAAAAATATATAGCTGTGTAGCCTTACCGTTACCAGTGGCTCTGTTTAGTAATCGTTTGGATCGTTAATTCCGCTGACTTTTTAATGATTGTCCTGTATGAAGTAAAATAAGTCACATATAAGCACTTTTCAAGTGAACTTATCCGGCGGACCTTTTCTGGTATGTGTGTGTGTATGTGCGTGTGTTTGTGTGTTTGTGTGTGCGTGTGTGTGTGATGTGCATCTGCGTGATAGTTGTGAAAGAATCACATTTATTACGATATGAGGTTATCACAGCTGATGTTATTATATAAAGAAGGATTTCTCTTTTTTCTTTGTCTTATTTTTGGTTGGTTTTGCCTGTCAATATTTTTTATTGCATAGAAAATATTAATAATAAATTAGTGGTTTTGTGATTGAATTATGAAAGATCAAATTAAACTACCAGTTTACACAGCAGCTATGAGTATGAATTCAACGGACGCACTTTCCGAGGGAGAAAGAGAGAAAGAGAGAAAGGGAGGATGACAGCAAAATCTATCAGTTCCTGTTTAAAATCCAAATTTGAATTAGTGAAAAATAAAATCTGAAAAAATGACTTATGGTATTCGTATATTTGGCATTATACAACATTCATTTCCTTATTTTTCTGTACTTTCCGTTTTGCAAAAATCGTTCCATTAAAAAAAGCATTTTTAAACAGCGTTATATTCTTTTTTTTCATTGCATCCTTTATGGAAAGAAATGATTTTTGAATGAGATAACATAACTAAGATCCAATCACTTATCTTAACTGTCAGCAACTTAGAATTAACAAATTCATGAAATTACAAATTCGCTTCTCAGACATTCACAGGTTCATTTCCGCTAACATCTATTCTATTGTGAAAAAATCAAATAAAACACATACAGCTAAATAAATGTAGGCAAATACAAGCCATTAATAAATTAAGCTACTGTGATCTGCAAATCCCGGTTAAGATTATTGAGAATTACCGTTTCTTACTGAAACAAGGTGGTTGTTACTTTTTGTTGAGAATGATTTCAGTGGCTTATTTTGCTTAATAATTAGACCGATGACAATATGTTTGTAGTGCAATCACTTTTTCTCTTATCTGTCATCTAAAATAACTTAAATTATCTCCCATTATATAAGTTCACATGAAAAAAAGTACGAATAGGAAAAAAGAGAAATCCTTCTCTATCTCTTTTGCTTCTTTTCTCCTTTCAGTTTTAATTCACTCTTTACAATAAGTACAAGCGTCCTTTCATAATGTTCTTCCCTTCGAAATAAGTGACAAACATATTAAGCAGATATGTCCTTTCATCTCCTATAAAATTCAATTATTCCTCCTGCAGTTAAACTTTCCTTAGAAATTCCGCTGCTATGCACTATTAGGTAATACTTATGAATTTCGAAATTTAAACTTTTTATCTTTACCGCCTATTTCTTTCCATTTCATATTGTTTTATCTTTTTTCTACTTTTAATTACTAAAAAAATCCTCAAAAATTCTTTTGCTTGCACTATTTGTTATTTGAATTTTACCAAGCCATTATTCTCATCTAACATACAAAATTTCTGTTTACTGATTCATAAGTGCTATTAATGATTGCTAATTTCTGATTATCGATTTTCAATAGTATATTTCAAACGGGTCATCGTCCTTCTCTTCATTCAAGAAGGTTGCAATTTTCAATCTCTATCTGCAAAAAAAATTTAACTCTTTGTAGTATTGCGTTTTATCTCACATATATTGTTCACAATTTTGAAGCAATCAGAAATATCGTAGCATTTTTAATATGCCTTATTTAGAAAGAGAGAGGAATGGATACTGTCCAGAGTCACTTCAGTCACAAATCACTTCACCATAGATCACTTTAATCGCAGGTCACTTCATGTTTTATCATCTGGTTCTCATTGCTTTTCTCCCGATGAAGTCCATTAAAATGTAGTTATGGATGCGTAGCATAAATGATAGTTCAAACGACCTCTGCGCCCTTCTCCACTTGACAAAAGCAACTGAGAATGTCATCCCGCTCTTTCTTCATATGTTTTTTTCAGTTACTGAAATAACCGCAATGTGAATTATGTAAAATTTGTTAGGATTAAATTTGTTGATTAAAATCATCATCTTAAAGTCATTTGATTATCTTTCTAGAATCATCTTTCTGGAGCATTTGATTATCTTTCTGGAATATTCATTCATGTTTTTATTTTTATGCAAATTTGATTGATGTGGCTGTGATTTTTGGCAAGCATATGAGTCCTTTACGCAATCATCAAACGTGCTTTCTAGAATTGCCAGACGAGATGAATCTGTTCACGGTGGAGCAGCTCGAACTAATCAGACGACTTCGCTTAACGGGTATTACTCCTGAAGCTGTTCTTGAGGTAAACTTTTTCTCTGATTTTTTTCAAACTTCATTACTGCTTGTTGCAATTTCAAAACTTCTCAACTAGTTCTATCTGGTAGCTACAGCTATAAGCGTAGTGCTACCGTCGAAATAATAGCGATGCTTAATAACTATCAAAAATCACCGATATATTAATCCTACATCACTATTAATATCTTTGTATGCGATATTATTAGCCGATTTCTAAATGTGTATAAACTCGACATCAGCCATCTTAAGCTACTGCCTTACAATCTTACATCGCAATATCTTTTTGCTTTATGTTAGTGGTTTCATATGATTGTTGACTGGAAAACTGGAAATCGCTTAGTAGTGATTGTCTTGCTGGATTCATACATTTCAATCAATCTTCCAGTCTCAACTTTTCATTACGTCGATGTAAAATGTAGAAAAATCAGTGAAATCCACCAAACTTCTAAGAAACTATATTGAGAGCCTATTTTTTGAATATTACTATGGTACTACTTAGCAATGCCGCCCGAAATTGACAGTTTACATTGATAATGGCAAAACATAAGCCTATCACTTTATTTGAAAAATTAGAATTAGAAAAGTTACAAAGAGAAATAATTAACTTCCAAAGAACAAACTTCCTTAACTGCCAAATTTCAGAATTATCAGCTCAACGGAATAAGAATGTCAGTTACTGTTAAACATCAGCGAATGTTTGCAAAAATCCAAGATGTTAAAGTTAACAAGTTTCATCTACTTTCTGGGCAAAACATGACCTTTTCCTTTCTTGCATGCTACTATAATCACCTGCTCGCGTTAACCCAAAAATTCTTTACCATTTGACGACGCATTGATGCATTTTAAATAATTGAAAAATGAAAAATGAGCAAATTCGAAGAATAGTCATTATTTTTATTATACATAAATCTTGAAAAAAAATTTACCCATAAATAAATATATTTTATTGATAAATATGTCGGAGATTGAAACTTTTTCATAATTAAATTACTTCTAAGATGTTTAATCCAATTTATCCAAATTCAGCGGTTCAAATGTTGCAATTCATTTAATTTGTGCAAACAAGCATGTAAAATTCAATTTCTGAATGAATTCAATTTTTCAATTTCATTCATTTATTCTTATGGTTTTCGTTATTTTACACTAACTTTCCAATACCGATCAATCACTTTAATCTGTAACACAGTAATTTTACTTAAATAATTAGTCACCGCTGCACTTTTCAAAGATTGTTGAAATGTACATCCTGTTGGGCATATTTGTCAACCTCTTTCTTACACTTCCATACAACCTTCATAAAGAGAAAAGAGAGAAGGATGCAATTTCGTTTTCGATTATATTTAGTTGTGAACAGATATATATGTATATGTATACATAATATTTTATAAATAAATTATAAAAAATATTTCAAAAATTAATGAACCTTCTCAAAATCTCAACATTTCACAATTCATATAAAATTTAATGGAATATGAAGGTGACAAGCAATAATTGGTTTAGATAGGATTAGATTTCTACTGCTAAGGTAAAGAGGATAAAGAATTCGACTGTAACTCTTTATCAGCATGATAAGATGATCTGGTCACATATTCCTCTTTTTTTATTAATGTTCATTCCTATCATAAAATCACTGAAGTAATGTGAAAATAAATTTTAATTTGTTGTTCAGAGAAAAGAATGGGATAGCTTAAACTTAAGTGGACGTCAGGAATTGATCTAAGAAGATATCATTGAGTTAATAATAATATCGAGTGAGAAAGATGGAATTGATTTGTAATGATTTACTGTACATAGACTTGCTTCTGTACGAGATAAGATTGAAAAAATGAAGGATAAGGAATGAAGAAATGAAGGTCGCAAAAAGAAAAAGGATGATTTTTTGCAGAAAGTGAGATTAAAATTAAAAAAGGATAGGTTGAAGGAAATTGATTTGATATGGGTTAACGAATGAAGATGTAAATGTTGTTACCATTCAAACTATTAAATTAGTAAGGTTCGTTTATTCTAACTTATCAATTAATTAGCTGAGTTTAGTATCTGTCTTTCATGCATACCTTCTTATCAGCTACAAACTAATGCTAAATATAAACTGTAATATATTATTCGCTTTTAACAAGTATACTATCGTGTCTAAAACAAATTTTAAGCGATATTTCATAAGGAAGAAAAAGACTTATTATTTATTGTTTTCAAGTGTTCGAGAGGAGATTGAAGTTTGTTTGAATCCTACTATTACAAACTTAGAATGACCTTTGATAGGTAAATTTGAATGCTTGAGTGACTTTACTTATAGATTAATAGTTAGCACCTTCTTTTTTCATTTGCAGTTTTTATCCGTGTTTCGTGCTTACTTTACTTTCTGATTTGATTTTAAATTATTCTTACTCCATATCTATTCGTTATACATCAAAAATATTCTTTATACCAAATCACTTTTTTGTCATAAACATATAATCAGAGATATTTGATTAAATTAAAAAATTCTTTTCAACAATCAGTAGTTCACACAACTTTCGAATTGCACTCTTTAATGATAACACTGATAAACACTGATAAAGATAAGTTTACAGGCATTTAGAGCATTGGAACAAATAGAAGCGGATTTGGATGCAGCTCGTATTCAAACAGCAGCTTTGGCAGCGCTCATTGCCCCTGCCACAAAAATGTTTCAATTTGATGATGGTGCTAATGCATTCGAACTAAATAGTCCGATTCTACTGCAGCATCTCAGAAATCAGGTTTTTTCTCCGTTTTAATCTTTATAGAGTCACCTGTACGGTAATCAATACGGTCATTTAACACTGTAATAACTCAGTATTACGGGCGTTAACGAGAGCTGTCAAATTATTGGATTGATCCTTTTAGAAGTCGTAATTCAGAGTTCCAGCTGGTTAAGTCAACTTTAATCTTTTCAAAATAAATCTTGTCTTATTTCAACACAAAACATTTATGCAACACAATGAGTAATTTTCGCAAAAAATCAGAAGTGAAAAAGCAAAAAAAAACTTGTAGAAAATTAAGCTTGATTAGTAAACTTCCTTAATATTCTGTTAATTAAAAACTTGATAAATTACTGAAAAATAACTTTTCTCATTCATTATTAATCATTTTTCATTGTTTTCCACTTCTTATTTTTAATGTTGAATCTAAGGTGATATTTGGGTATTTCCGCATTTCATTTTTCTTAAGGAAAATGAAGTGTAAAACAAATTCACTAAAAATATTTAACACTTACATTTTTACACCAATGTACCTCTATATGTTTCATTTCAGTTAACATACCAAATGATTAATTTTCGGTTACTTTGATAAAACATTCTTTTCATATTGAATTTCGCTATTAAAATTGTTTCATTTGTTGATCTTTTTCATACATCTTTATAATTTAACGAATACAATTTTGTGGACAAGCAATGAGGAAAAATGGCCCAATTGTTCACTTTTAGATGTTTTATTTTAATAAATTAATTGCATTCATAAGGAAGCGATATTTTCAATTCTGAAGAATATTGTGGTCTTGTCCGATCGTGTTGCAAATGATTTACACTGATACTACTGATTGTTCAGATTCTGGCAAAAAGTGGAAAATTTATTTTGAACTTCTAACAATAAAATTGTTGCTACTTAGTTGAAAAATACACTGATATTCTTGTGCAACCTTTTGTTATATTTTGTCTAATCATCCATCAATCTTTCTTGACACCTTACAGTATCAAATCCGTCCGAAGATTTCTTTTCATTTTAATCACCGCTACGAAGTTATCAAAATCGCTCAAAACAAATACATTTTTCATTTTAGAAACGGGAATTTCTCTTTGTTAAATCCACCATTTTTTTCAATAATTTCACATTTTGGAAAAGCATAATTTATCATACAAACTTTTCTCAATTCACTTCAATTGGAGATTATTGAAAAAGAAATAATTTTGTAATAATTGGCTTCTTTCTTTACTTAATATTCTCACATTGTTAAAACTAATTTTAATTCGAAAATTTAGAAGGCAATTAAATTTATCTATTATTTATTTTTGGATAAAAAAGATGCTTCAAAATTGAATTAAATTATATATAAAATCGATATAAAAACAACGGTTGAGTTCAACTCTATGCAAAATGATGGAAACAAATAAAAATAATAATTTTAAGATTAAACTCATTCAGTGATGGAATACACTTACTTTAGCTCCAACGAACTATTCATAAATTAAAATAATTATCAGAAAATCCGAGATTCATTCATCGCATCGTTGCTGATTTTCATTTTTACATCTTAATCATTTCTTTGTTTTAATATTCTATTTGTCTCACTTCCACTTTTAATAGTTTTTGCCTGTTACAAAAAATGATGGATGATTTTTTTCTTGTCTTGATAGAAGTTGAAAACGATTTTTTAGCGAAACTTTTTACTGGCCGAAGAAATCTAAATTTCACTGATGAGTGGTAATTGTCGATGATTTTTGATATCTATTAGAATTGAAAGTAGGGTGATCTATTGACGTTTGATTTAAAATTTAATACTGGATATCGATATCGGATGTTAGCTTTCAGTCTGACATGAATTGGATGAACATATTAAGGTTTTTTTTTTCAGTCAACTGAGAATAGTCCTCTAAATTGAATTGTTACTGATTTTTTAGTCATCGATATCAGAGGTTCAAAAAACTCATACTCATTAATTTATTTTCTATTTTGTACTACCATTGTTACATTTAAATTTATGATTATATGAAGAACAATTTATCAAAGTTCCTTACGTAAATATGTAATCAAAAAATTCGACTGTTAAAGATATGTTACGGTGGTGGAAAAGGGAGAGGTTTTTTTGAGTATACAATTCTTTCATTACTCATTACAAAAATAATTTCTTGTGCTGTTCATGTTCCTTCTTTCTCTTTCATCATCTCATTCACGTTTTCTGTCTTCTTGATCGTGGTCGGTGACACGAGAAACTGATACGAATTAATTACTTTCTGCCTTCACCATCATCAATTTTGATATCAACTGCGATAAACAATTCCTTTTCGAAATCGTACTTGCAGATTTACTATGTCGAAGGGCGATTTTTGTTTCGACTATTTTCTTTTTCTCTTAATTTTTCATTTGATGGTATCAGGAAAAGAACAGCAAATAGAAGTCCCTGAAAGAGGGCATCTTTTTCCGTGTTCTAACAATAAGAATTGATTTTATTGTAATGGGTAGAATAGGTTAAAAAAATAAATTGAATTTAAAGGAATTTGATGACGATTACCCTCATAATTTACAATATATAAATTTCCTTATTTTCAATTTATTTAAGTTTTTAATTATCGATGTTTTTTGGTATTGAGTCTTTTTATTGTCGATGTTCTTTGGTATTTACTCTTATTAACTTTTCTAGGCTCCAGTACCAGTTACTATAAATGCATCATCTTCACCATCTTTGTCAACTACATCACCGGATCGATGCACTGTCCAGAATCCCTTACCTCTTTCAACAACTACCGGTGGCACAACACCTACTGGTGCAAGTGATGCGGCAACATCAGCGGTAGCTACTGCTGCAGCTGCAATACCCCCAACATGCCTCCTCGGACAGTACAATTTCGAAGCTTCTTCACCATCAAGCTGTCGACCGATCCGTTCCCAAAGGACACCGATGCGTGAAATCACGACGTTGGATGATCCCAGCGAATTGGATGAATTTATGCAACAAGGCGAAGAAGTCTGTATATTGGATATGAAAAAATTTATCACGCAGTTTTCACTTAGGCAAACTACAGTTGCTATGATGACGGGTTAGCTTTTGCGCATTTTTGATAACGTTACTTTCACTAGATTTGAGAGAACTTTCAAGGCTAGTTTGAAATTTCTACAGAATTCCTTTAAGTCACTTCCTATTTCAGTTGTAATCAAATTAATGTTTCAACCGAAGATTGTTCTTATACCCAATAATTTTTTTGATATTATTATTAAATCTAATAATTATTTTTCAAAGTTCAGGAGTTTCTCAGCCATACATTTCAAAACTGCTCAATGGTAATCATCGTGAATTGTCGTTACGTTGTCGAAAAAACATTTATTCATGGTATCTGAATTGTAGACGACATCCAGAGAAACTTTGTAAGTTAGAAATTTAATATAAAATTGGCTAATTTTTCTAGTCTGAAAATAATTTTGGGAACTTAGAAAATGCCTTTTTTTAGCTTCTTTCCTAGCCGATCCATCTACTCGTTTGGAAACAAATGGTGATGGTGAATTAATTCCGCAACGTCGTGAACGATATGTTTTTCGCCCGATTTTAATTCGAATTTTAGAGGGTTTCTTTGCTCAAACGCCATTTCCGGATCTAAATCGTCGAATTGAAATTGCTACTGCTTGCAATCAGGCATTGCAGATAGATAAGAAAGGTATATTAAGTTATGAAAATCTGTTTTACATTTTATCATGCCTATAGATTATCTTTCATAAATTCTTCAGATTAGAGCTTAAAAGGTGCAATCTATAGGGGTTGGACTGATGCCAAAGGAAGTCGTATCACCGCAAGTTGTCGCAAATTGGTTTGCCAATAAGCGAAAAGAGTTGCGTCGGCGTTCTAATGATGAGTACAATGAGGCCAATAATGCGAATTCGTCACAAGTTGTAAGTTAACCTTATATAATATTTTTGTATGCCCTAAGATGATTTTTTTGATGTCTTTTTATAAAGAAAAAAAGTAAAAAAATAAGTAAGCTTTGGATGGAAACTTATATTAGTATGAATTTCATTTCTGATTTAAATTAGGCTTGTCTTTTTAATGTTTTACCTGAGATTAGCTGTCTTTGATTCATCTATTAATTATCTATTTGAATATTTTACCTGAATAGAAATTCATTGAGGAAAATAAGTTCTGTTAAAGCTATGATCAAAAAATGGTGAGTTCTATTAAAAAATCAAACTTTAAGATAGTATAAATAATTTTCTGTTGAAGAAAGCATAAATTTTAGAGCTCACCTGATGCTATTTCATCCCCATCACCAACAACTAGTATATCGAATATACCAATGGAGACAGATCGGATGGGCCTGGATGACCGAATTATTGCTTCGGTAGCTACCTCCGTTCCCATATCCGTTCCAGCTGTTCGACCAGGAAACAGTCCGATTGAAGTTGAAACAAGCCTTTTCTCTTCGCTCGCGCATCAGCAACAGACAACGCTTGTACAAACGTTGACAAATCCAAATAATTTTTGTCCAAAACCAGATCCAGAATCACCAATATCAGCAGCATTACCAATTGCATCAACTAATTGTACCAGCATTGATGATACAGGTCGTGATTCTATCGATCCAGCAGCGCAACAATCACAACAGCCATCTGATGGTTCAACATCTTCAGCGGGTCAATGCTTAGCAGAAATACAATGCCAACTAGATCTGGTGAATAATTCAGTATTGGCATTAGTAAATCCATACAATAATCAAATTCACAATTCAGTTATAAAAGTTGAACAAACTGCTGAATAGATTCTCTAAATGATTGAAAGTGCATATCCATCTTCTACAACTAAACTAATCCCTTTCTGGCTTTATAGACTGGATTTCCTTCTTCATTGATCCTATATCAACCTCGTAACTTTATTACTACATCTGGTCTTTCTTTGTTGTCTACCGCACAAATAGAAAATTATTCTTGAGTGATTCCGAATCCAATCCTGATCTAAATTCCTATGAATGCATTCATTTTAGGATTTCTGGCAAATCATAATTGGGAATATTAATTTATGCTTTTATGTCGTAATGGATATTGACTTAATTGAGGATATTGATTTATATTTTTATGTCCAATTGTTACACCGAAGGAAAACACATTTAAACAATTCTCATTGGAAATTCATTTATTTTTTCCTATATCTGCCATAATCTTTTTAGTTGATGTTTTTTTGCATTGTGTTCTACCATGAAATTTATTTTATAAAAAAGATTTTGTAGAATCTTTGCATAATCAGTGAAATTATTAGGAATAATGATGGATTCATTGATGTCCCGGTGATTGTATGCAAATCTACGAAACGTTGGTTCTAATTGTTCCCGAATTTTTAGTTTGAATTTCCATTAATTTTCACCATGAATTATTTTACCAGTCTTCTTTATTCAATCATTTATTTCTTACACAATACTTAGCAATCTACAAAGCCACTTTTTTCAGCAGCTTGTGATAGCAATTTAATTTTGCTTTTGTTTTCAAATCCATATCTCATCTAATTAACTTTTAGCACTTTTTATAATAGTCATTTAGTTGTTAACAGTTTACTAAATTTTGGTTCTAAATTCCGAATTAGTGAAATGGGAAGTTTCCCACATTTCAGTCCTTTCCACGCCGTACTTTCAAAATACCTTCTTTAGGTATTTTTGAAGATCCTGCCTTTCTCATTTCTTAAGCTGAATAGAAATTAATAATTCATTAATTTTTCTCCCCGTTGTAAGTTTATAATTTTTCAAGAAGGTGAATAAAATACCTTTACAATTTATACGTACTTTCTCTTCTTCAGTAATTAAATCCTTATAAGTGTTATACATAATTTTGCGTATTCATTTCTTCATAATTTAACACCTCCAAAATTCAAAATTTGTTGCTGTTAGACAGGGTTATGTAATTTGATATTTGTCATTGTTATTTAGTATTAAAATCATTGTTCTCGTGCTATTGCTGTTGTTATTCATTGAATTTGAGTTCTTTTTTTAACTATCAGTTAAATTGATGTTGTCCTGTGCGATCAGCAAAATCGTTTAAAGTCGACAGCTGCATTTTTTTTTTTTGAAATAATGAGATATAAAAGCCGAATTACCTCTGCTTTTGAAATAATTTTCTGTTCGCTTTTATTAGCTTCCTTTGAATAGTTGGCAAACAATTCATCTTTAAATTATGTTTCAATTTAATCGTATTAAAATTACAAAAGTATATTTGAATTTTTATGCAAATGCAGCTTAGTTGAGGTGTTATTGTATACACTGGTTTGTTTCGATTTATTCATACGCGTATTTTTTTTACCTGTTTATCTATCGTATATGTTTTGTGAATGAATTATGCTCGGGTTTTTACATTTTATTCTTAATGTAAATTGAATTAATTTTAGTTCTAATTTTTCTTATTTCATTTTGCTATGCTTATTTACATATATCAAAACAGAGACATTATGCGAAGGAAATAATTTGTTCTACGGTGTACAAATAAACATGAAATATTCAGCGTTAGATGGGAAGAGTTGCTGAAAGCAAAACGAAGATTTGCTTTCTAAATGAAAAATTTATAAAATTTGAAATTATGAAATAAGGGATGCGAAATGATAGAGATGAATTGGACCGATTCAAATTATACTGATCATTAGTTTACTGAGCAATTTCACCTAAATAATGTATGAAGACTGTTAGCATAATCTCTAATTTCTTCAATACACTCCAACTTTTTACTTACACACGATTTGATGGGAGCAAATTTGATAAAAATAAAAGTGATTATGAAGGTGATAGCAAAATAGCCAATGTAAAAGAAGGAATTAAAAAATTGTAATTAAATGAAAACCTCTGCCTTTTGAAGGACGTTTAAGAATTGGGTGCCACATTTGTAATTCAAATTTTAATGAATATATTTGTGTTAAGAGAGAAATTTTTTATTGTGCTCGCCGTTCCTGCTTATTTTCATTTTGTTGAAATATTTTACATTTTTTTAGGTATCTACACTTTTTTTTTCAGGTGCTACTATTAAGTAAAAACGAAGGATTGGGTACAATAATCTTTGATTAATAAATTGCTTTAAAAAATAAAGAAAAGACATTTACTACTTTCATCACTGTTTACGAATGTTGTTAAAATTATTAATTTTATATTTGGACTAATCATTTTCATTTATAATATTACTAATTGTTTCCAAGAATAATTGAGCAGACAATAAATTTGCACACTGTAGTAATAGCAATATGATAGACCTAATTTGAAAAATGTAATTAAACTCTAGTAAAAACAGGAATGATTTTCAATAGTTAAAAATTTAGGTATTGTTTATTTTTAATTTCATTCTTTGTGAAGTTTCTTGCAAGGCTCCTTTCATTTTTCATCATTCACTTGATTATAAATTTCTGGGGAAATAAAGAATTCAAGGCTACTTGATAGACTAGAGATGATATAAAAGAGCTTATATAGTAAACTTATAAACTTTCTCTGATAAATGAATAAAGAGATACATACAACCAGTTTTGATGTAATAAAATTTATGGCATTGTGAATGTAAAAAGGAATTTGTTGAATTATGAGTATTTTATGCTTTATCTTTTAGCTTCATAGCAAATTGATATTTAGGTCATTAATTGCATGAACAGTGGCCACTTCCTTATTATGACAGATGATTCTACAAAACCATATACTTATCTTTATAGTATTGAACTCTTACACTTGATGTAAAACACTCCCTAGCACGGCATTGAAGGCGTTTATTATTTATTATTACTCACTATTGTTATTTATTATCATTATTATTATCACTATTATTTATTATTATTACTTATAATCATTATTTATAATTATTATTGTTCTTCATTATTATTATCATTTATCATTATTATTATTATTTGTTATTATTATAAAATGGCACGACCTTTTGTGGAGAGCTAGTAACATTACTAATCTTTATTTCAGGCAATTTCCGCTAAGCAGCGGAATACTTAGTGTCGTCTGACGAATAAATTATCAGCATTTGAAATGGCAAACAACAAATAATCGGGCCTTACACAAACATTCGTTATACTTCCTGTCACATAATTCTTGATCTAAGGAAGAAAATAATGTCGATGTTTCAAAGATGATGTGTGATGCTTCAGTAAAAGAAAAAGTAATTTTCTAAAGAACCAGTAATCAACAGTTCTTTCCTCAGATGAAAAATTTCTGGAATTTTTATTTTACATATCGCTTTATCCTATTCACCTGTTAAATGATAATGGATAGAAATAAGAGCGAGAGTATATAAATAAGTACACATATAGTTGCAAACATCATAAGGATTCGAATCAAAAAACGCTGCGCCAACTATACCTCATATATGATCCCACCATTTTACCGCCTTAGAGTAGGAGAAATGGATATCCCGTTATTTTACAAAAAAAGGAAAAACGCTAACTGAAATTCAATGAAAACTAAACAGTACCACCCTTGATATTCCAAATATTTCGAGAAATTAGAGAAGCAAACAATACGCGAAGAGCATGAAGCAACAGAAATCTCGAGAATTCCTTAATAAGACTTAATAAGACTATTAATGAGGATTCTGGGTACCCTATGCATATACGCTAAAATAAATTTTGCTAGGAATCTGACGTAACAGAATATTTATTTAGCAAATATATTGTGGCGAACAATAAAAACACTAAAATGATACATGCATCATTATGAAGCTGCAACAATATCTGTACAACGAGTGTTGACAATGTAGAAACAGTGTTGAAGATACACGAAAATTTTTAACAGTGTACAATGAATTTCGGAGCCTATCTAAAAATTCTCTTCCGCTAAGGAACGAAGAAAACATAAGACCTCCTTTATTCTGCCTCATCTCCTAAATGCTTGTAGATCTAGATATAATTATTACCAGAAAGAATTAAAAACAGCAACACATTTCCATTAACGCTTTCGGTATGTTTTTGTTTTTAATTGGAAACTCCAATCCACCAAGAATTATTGATGGCCAACGTCTTTACTAATCTTTTAAAACAATAATAAATACCAAGCCTTTACCTGATACATTTAGCATGAAATTACATAACGAAAACCTTACAAACCTAATTAAAAAATGAATTTTCCTAACGTAGAAATCAGGAGTAAAACTACATATTTTTCATACTTTTCAAAGGACACATAAATATAAAGGGTAAGAAATATATTTTGCACCATTAATGAAAGTGTTTAACACTTGAAATTGTTTTATTGAGTTTAGTAAACTAGATCGCTGGAGTAGCAAAATATTTCAACGTGCTAGTGTACCAATTAACGAAGCACACATTTCAAAGAACTGCATCGTTTGTGACTGCTTAGTAGCTGTTGGTGAAGGAAGAGGTGAATGATCAACCTGAAATTGATAGTTTTAGATATTTGTTCTCTTTTGAGTGAAATTAGGATGTCACAATAACTTACCTCCATTGGGACTGGTAATGACTGAGCACGACCTGTTCGTAATGAAGGCTTTACAGGCATTGAAACTGATGCATGACGCGATGAACTTGCGCTGCCTGGAAATCACTACTAGTTCAAATGGCTTATTGAGTATAAAACATTTCAAAGAATTTCCATTAAAAAATACATAAAAGGAAAATGATAAATCAAAAAAAAAGAAATCAAAAATTACTTTTTTGAAAAATTCTAGGCGCTCTTACCTGCGTCTTCATCAACAAGACTTTTGAAATCAAGGAGGTAGCTTTTTTGGTCCACTTGATATAGTTGAAGACTCATTTTGGGCTAAAGTTTGACAGTGTTATATCTGATATCATTTGAAACATTCTTCTAGATTAAAAGTTTGTCGTAATGAGACGTAAGCCGAATGATAACGTCGAAAAAAGGCACTCACAGGCTCATAAGTTGAACATTCAGGCTTCTTCCGGACAATAATATGATAAGGATTAAATATTTTCCATTCAAAACCAAGTAATTTCATTGCTTTAAATACCTCATACATTATATCTTCTGTAATAATATAACTTTAAAATCGGATTTCCGCCGTTTTTCTGAGCTCCGAAAGAGCTCCCTCGAAAACCCCCTAAAAAATAGCAAAAAGGAAAAAAGTTACCTGGCCGACTTTGACTTCTTATTCCAAGATGCCATTTAGCTCGTCTTACATGAGGTGATTTCTGAGAATATACCGCATTAGAAGATGACTGCGACTTATGCTGACTACTAGACATAGAATCACCACTGCTACCAATATTCTCCAAATATGGGGTAATTTTGTTCGATCCTGAACTATGATTTTCCAGAGATATTGGCAAGTAAAACAGAAACAGTGAAAAAATGCAAAAAATTTTGTATTAAAGAAAAAACTTTTCACACCTGATATTCGTTCCGGATGTCTGTGAAACATATCGGCCGCTTGGAATTTTCCAGTTGGTGTGACCTGATAGAATTCTTCAATTGATAGCTTTGCAGCTAAAAAAATTATTTCCTAGTGTTAAATCAAGGTGAAATACAATGTTTTACCTCTCAAAAGTTTTACTGAAACCTTCCACAAACGAAAGTTCTCATACAGGGAGGGGGTGTTGAATCATACATAACAACTTACTGCAAGATGCATTTGCTAAAGTACTTTGCTGAATTTTTAAATCCGTGAAACTATAGTATTACAAGAAACTAACTTATCAGCATGACAAAAAAAAGCTTCTTGGATACATGTAATAAAGAGCAGGATAATATGAAACTGTAATTCTGATAAATTTTCACAACTTCTTGCCATGGATAATTCAGAAGAATGTCAGTAGATGAAAGTTCTTCTTGGAGAGGAGATAGCATAATCCACAAATATAAGTGATCCTCCCAAGAAAATTGTGGTTTGCGAGAAAATTTCATGAGACTAACGACAATAAAAATGAGGAAGAAAGGAAGGTTATTGCCATTAAATGCATTAATATCCTTGAAAATTTATAGATATAAAGCAAAATTTAATTATACCAAACGAGGTGGTACACCATAAAATGCTGTTAAAATCTATTTTGAAAAACAGAAAATTGTAAAAGTAGCAGCTTACTTTCATCGGCAATACGTTTGTTGTCAACAATCAGATTGTAAGCAATGCTTAAATGATGGTGTGGATCGTCGCCTAACAAGGCATTCGTTACATCTTCTTCTAGTACACCATATCGCTATAAGAATAAATAATTTGATTATCTTCTAGTTGCAACTTTGCTTACTTTTTCACTTGAAAAAAAATTGAATTTAAGAAAGTTACCGTAAATAAAATCATGTAAATAAATGTATAGCTGAGTAAAAATAAGTGCACACCCGAGTGACCTCCTTCACTGCTTCTATATCAACAATAGAAGCCTCACTTTCATTGATCGGTGGAAACAAATAAGCTGGCAGATCTTTTTGAAACCAGTCATGTTGTCTAAAATTCTAGCATGGATAGTAGAATAAAATAAGGCATAATGATAAAATCGCAAAACTGGAAGAGATCAAAAGAGCTCACATAACATCTTTAATTGTAGCTCTTTTCATTGGATCAACCTGCAGCATATGTAATAACAAATTGACCACTTGCTTTTCCAAATGATCAGGAATTGGGAATATGCCAGCTAAAAAACTCACTCTATGGAAACCCTTGCAATTATCGGTGGCTGAAACCTGAAAGCTAAGTTTCTCTCCAAATCTATATATATGCATATTCGACCAAAACCAACCATGATCTTTCGGAGTTTGTGGAATAACTCATTAAAATTAGTTGACATTACTGATGGAAGAATAGGATGAAATACCTTTGATTTTCCTAAACAAGGATGGCACATGTTCATCATCAAAAGGTAAGGTACCACAGAGAAGAGCATATAAGATAACACCACAGGACCACACGTCTACTTCGGGACCAGCGTATAATCTAGAAAGTAATATCACAATTAGTAAAAACGTAAATTTTCATAAAATTTCGATTAAAAAAAACGAAGGAAAATCAGGGGTAAAACAGCTTACTTCCCAGAAATTACTTCAGGTGCTGCGTAATTCGGACTGCCGCAACTTGTCCGCAAAAAATCTCCATCTGTCATAATGTTCGATAAACCTAAATAGTAATGAAATATAAATTACAATCAAGAATTATACTTAAAGAAAACCACTGGAAAAAAAGATCCCATAATGTTATGGAGCTTACCGAAATCTGCTATCTTCACATTGTTTTTATCATCCAGAAGTAAGTTTTCTGGCTTCAAATCCCTATGTACAACCATGTGACGATGACAGTAGTCCACGCCCGAAATTATCTGCTGGAAAAAACGACGTGCTTCTGGAGTCTTTAGCTGAAAAACAGTTTCTTTCTTTATTTGTTGAAACCGCATGATACCATGATTTTCAAAAATTGCACATCTAATAAACATTTTAGGCCAGTAGAAGTTTTCTTTCCACACTTTCAAGGAGAGAAAGTAAAAAAATATGGCAGGAAATAACTACAATAAAACAAACTCTTCCATGTTTAACGATATAATCGAAAAGTTCACCACCCGCAACGTATTCCATTATCATAAAAATATCTGTCGGTGTGCTTATTACCTGATACCTGAATTATATAAAGTTAATAGAAAGATAAATAGCTATATCTAGCTACAGTGAATAGTACTACATTAGTCAGCCTTTAGAAATAAAATTTCCGTTTCTTTATTCTAACTACCTCTGTAAAAAAATAACAAAGAACTAAACAAAAAGTCTAAATCTAAAAAATCTAGATCTACAAGAAAGAGAGAAAGAGAGAGAGAGAGAAAAAAAGATCTAGATCTACAAGAGCTAAGAAATGGATAAACAGAATGCAGCTTAAAATTTGGAGATAATGTCAAAGAAACATACAAACGAATGATATGTGGATGCCGAAAAAGCGACAGATTTTGAATTTCACGACGTATTTTACCAACAACATCCAGGGTCTTGATCTTTTGTCGATTCAAAATTTTCACAGCCACTTTATAACCCGTGCCTTCGTGAGTACCTACTTTAAATATATAAGGTTTAAAAAGATCTAATTATGTCAATGCAGTTAACGACGAAATCAATTTAGTTAGCCGTAATAGAAAGATGCGATAGAAGTGCTGAATAATCACAATAAAAAAACTGTTCCAATTAAGTGATGAGGATGAAAAGTAAGCAACCCTTGACTTTGCCAAAAGTGCCCACGCCAAGTGTCTGATTGAGGACATAATGACCAATCTTGATTTGTGGATGCTTTGATATGTCACAGGATGACGACATTTTCCTGCAAAAAAGTTACACTTTTACATCATCACCACAAATGACCGCAACGAACCATAACCAACGCAATGTAATCCCCTGCTTACACACACCTTTAATCACCTCATCCCTACTTTCCGCTCCACAACACAAATCCATCCCACCCCATACCACTGTTTGGTCTTTCGCTGGCGAGATGCCAGCAGTAGCACCACCCATTCTAAGACACAAACAACGTTCAGCAGCAGGACCGATTGCTTCATCTGGTTCTACTAATAGGGAATTGGGGCGGGATAGAGGGTCAGGGAGAGGAGGGATGAGGATGACAGTCTCTTATGGAAGATTTAACTTCCAATTTAATATTCCAGGCTCATTTCTCTATAATAATTTGTGTCACTTCATCTACAGCACTCCCTTATCATTTCTACTACCACTACCACCCACATAAGGGGCCGTTATACGATGCAAAAGAACCAAGAAGAAACCATCAGGCCATAGATTCTACTCGAATGGATTTCCCTTTAGAAAAACCCTCATCGCCTAACCAATTACATCTATTACCAGAATTTCATATACCTAATGAAGTTCATTACTATTTAAGTGCCGATTTCATTGCAAAACCTTTTTCACATTGATTTTCATTGCACTTCCAATAGTTGTATAGGCATAGTTTAAAAAATAATGCACTAACAACAAACATTACATCTTATTAGGGGCTTAGAAACAAATTTACTTCTTGGAGGAAACTATAGAAACTTTCAACTCAGCATTTTTAAGTAAATAATACTTGCAAATTCACAAGTTCTCAATATATAAAGAAGAAATGACAAGGTTTTGAAACTACTCTATTGAAATTCTCTTTCATTAAACTGTCAACAGCTGCACTTCGTTTCTTATCTATCATTTTAGAACATCAGTAAATTTTTAATTTTATACTGCCAACAGGAATCTCTGTGTCAAAATACTGATTAAGGTGGAATTGAAAAATAATTCGAAAAAGAGACCAATGCAATTTTTCGCAATGGAACATTTTACTTCGTGGTAGATAACAAATTTTTGCCTTATCCGGATAGTTATTATTAAAATCCATCACTTGCACCCATCACGTTCTTGTTCGCATTATACATTTCTTCTTATCATATAGTGTAACATGTTTGTTTGGAAATTTCTAAACAGTTCTCCAAAATCTGGCTTGTTGCGAAATTTTTCAAGCAAGAAATAAAATTTTTATTTATTCGCATTATATTATAAGCAAGCTATCTTCAACTGAATAATCCATTAAAGTCCTAAAGAGAACTTCTTCTTTCTTATGTGTAAGATACTTGAAAAGAAAAGTTTTTAAGAGATAGAATTACGGCGTCTTACGTAATCAATTTGCTTCTACAAATGATTGTTGACCTTCCATGAAAAATTTTACCTCGAACACCTATTTGGGCAGGCGCAAGAGGAAAATTCACTCAGCACTCTGAGTCATAATGTAGAAATTGATTATCATTCGGACTTCATCAGAAAAAGTTTACGAAAATTCCAAAATTTAATTTTAACAGACATTTATTTCAACATTAAACTAAACTGGAAAATCTGGACCATAGATATGATCGCTAGAGGATCAAAAAATGCCCAAAACCATGCCAATTTTGTATGAAGACGTGAATCTCCAACCAATGACCTCTGTTACAAAATGATAGCTACTTGATATTTATCAAGTAGCTATCATTTTGTCGCATTATCGACATGTTTCATAAATCCCAAAAGGTAGTAGCATAGTAGAATGCTAACTGAACAGGTACCTCGAATTGTTGCACTGGGTGGCTAGCCTACACATTGATTGTACTTTATTCTGCATTTTATCTTGACGTCTACAAATAGTGACCAGATATTATAACACTTCATGTTTTAGAATTACCATTTTTCCTAACCATATATGCCTTAGTTTAATTTGTCATGCATATAAGTGCCTGACAGGAAAGTAAAAAAAAAATGGTGGAAAATCAGTTTTGACGACTAAATATTAATCTGACGGTGGTACCAAAACTGCCACATTACATTTTGTCAACATTATTTTATTAAATATTTTCAAGAGAAGCGAAATCAGAATAGGAGTAGATGTGATGAAAACTAGAAACATTATTAAATGAACAACTGGCCGTAAAAAAATTACAGCTTTCCCTCATAATATGTTTACGAAGAACACTTTATATTTCAAATGAACAATGGCTAAACAATGTTCAAGTAAGGAATTTGTTTTTGCAGGTATCGTCGGTGCTTCAAGCTCAGGTTTCATTAGTGTGATTGACGTTGTTGCGCTAATAGTACCTGCATATAACCCACAAAAACCTCGAGACGCAACAGCAATGAAGAACGGGATAATCCTAATTGCATTTACCCCCATCCCCTACACGCATTTCTTCAAACAGTGTTCTGCATCGGTTTCCAAACCCATGACATAGAATAAAATTCAGTGAAATCATATAAAACAACATCTTAACAACAAATATGCACATATTCCGTATCGCGGCAATGAATCCAGCAGGCAAAAAAAATGGAAAAGCGAGGAACTGATGAAAAAAGCCAAAATCAAGAAAAAATTAAAAGAAAATATGAAATGAAAAATTCCCGCATTCAAATTCCTATTTAAAAAAAATAACAGCTGGAAGTTGCGGCATAAAAAAACAAAAAAATCCTGTTGTACAGAGCTGTGCCTTTTTCACTTGACAAACACATCAACCACAAACGTCATATCAAGTCAGGAAAAAATTTTACTGCGGTGCTTTCTTTTTATCGAAATATCCCCATTCAAAACATCATTTTCTCTTTGAACTCCCTCATATTTCAACTTCCATAATGTTTAAATTTCCCGTTCGTCCGTGCGTAAGCAAAATTTTCCTGAATTGCAGCATCGATAACAACTAGAGAAAACTTCAGAGTAGATAGTACCAGGTAGAACATGAACGAAGTTAAAAATGAATACAATGCAAGAAAAAGCAAATTAATACAAACTGAAAAAATTAAAGTTGTTCACCACCTCTTGTCTACTATAACAAACGAGTGTTTTTAAAAGTAATCTGACAGAAAAAAGAAAACAAATTAAGAGGTAGAGTGCTTTTATAACACAATGTCGAGGAAATATAAAAGTATCTTAACGATTTTTTACAAAAGTAGTCTAAAAGGATCGATAACATTGCCACAGAAAAGGGTTATCACGAAACGATCTCAGAAATATTTTAATCGCATTAAAATATTCCTGCAAAATACTTCAAAAACTAAGATTTTGTGTCTAAGAAATGCTACAGAAATGCTCCCCTTAAATGACTGCTATATTTTATGTTCCCCAATTCCCAAATAATTCAAAACCACAGTCTTGGAAGCAGCATTGAAAAATCAGCTCCACACTAAGCCTGCTTATCTGTCACATGTTTAGTTTCAGAAGTTAGATTGCATTCTGACCTTCAGAATAAAAAAACCACAGTCTTGGAAGCAATTACGAATGTAACTACGATTTCTAGGCATGTTACAAAAGCTTTTAAAAGACCATCGAAACATGAAACGACTACAGCATGTTTTATTGTAACGGACAAAATCTGGCAAGTGAATTATTTCAATTCCTTTTTACATGTAAACGCGTTTTTTTTAATTTTGCACATTATTTGAATAAAAACCTGTGATTCTTCTGGCACCATACAAAATTTTTAGAAATACATACGAAACCATCATAAAAAATTTCAACAAATACATAATGGTAATTTCCACCAATCTTTCCTTAGAATAAACGACTGAAGAAAAAATGAGTTTAAACGAATCTCACTTTCAAGCAAAAATAAACAAAATAAATCATTAATTGTGTTTGGGAAGTGGTTGGTGCTAAGATACAAATCAGATTAGTACCAACCAAAATCCAATTTCTGTGCCAGGAAAATTCATTTTCTACGCTATACAAACAAAAATCATGATACCGTTTCACTAACCGTGTACTACAAAATAATCCCATGAGAAACAGGTCAAAAATGAGGTATTTGCAATGCGTGAAATAAACTGAAAACAGGATGTGAGTCTCCAAAAATGGCACGACAATCACTGTAATGTGTCACCTTTTCTGTGCACGCTGCTGGAATGTGCGGTTAAATGGAAAACCTGTTGCAGTGCAGATACGCGGAAATAAAAAAGCGGTGACATTCCGAATGTTAGTAATCATGTCTTGGTGCCATGGTTCTAACCTGTCTCTAAACCGACAACTGCATTCAACCCTTCCACAAAGAGTAGCAAACATTCCTCCTAGCAAAGGATGCATGCACGTTGCGCAACTGAATCACCCGTTTCATGTGCGTAAGCAAAAAGGAAAAGATGAGTAAATGAAGAATCTGTTGTCCCTTTTAAGAAAGAAGAAAGAAAAATCTATGTTTCATTCTAGTGCTCACTTTCTCACCATATCTTTGAAACAGTGAAAACAAAAAAAAAGAGTACTCTCAGTTAATACAAGAATCGAAAAACATCCGTAATTCAAATCTTATTTTAATAAGGATAGGAAAGCTACTACAATGAAGGATAACTGCATGTTGGAAATATGCATCCTGATTCAAAATAATGTTGAATTAAATGTAGAGTTAAATTATAAAATTAAATTGCATTTCTGCACAATCTGGAACAGATAGCAAGAAATAAAAAATTCTTTGAGTTTTGAGATATATTATCATAGTCGACTAGGCTAAATAGATGTCGTTACGAAAAACATTTTTCAGTCAGTTAGTTTTTTGACTTGAAAATGTTTCAGTTACGATAAGGAAGTGAACACTATTCTAGAGCGCAAGCAATTAGGCGAGGTGTCAGAACAGAATGGTAGAAGAACCTCATCTTTCGCTCCGCGAAAGCCTAAATATTGTCGAAACTTAGCTGACTACCAGCAGACTGAGATAATTCATGGCGAATGACAGCTTCCATGTTTTCCACTTCCATCAGTGGTTGATCAGGAAGTGCCAGATTTTCTAAATCCATGGGCAAAGCCGCTGTGTTACCACTAAATGACTGCTGCGCAGCACAGCTTATTGAGGGATGAACACTAACAGGGATAACATTTGAGTGCATCCAATTTGATGAGGCGACATTAGCGCTTCCAGCTGAGTAGCTGCCATTGTATGGTACTCTAAAACAATAATTGATACAAAGATTGTTGAATGGTAACAAATGTAGCATTGAGCATCACCACTAAGCACTATTATATTCATTCCAAAGGTTACAAATAAGTAACTAGATTTTAAAAAGTGCCAAAATTTAAACTTTTTTAGTATCAGTTTTCGGAAGAAAGGCACTACTTATACAATATCAATTTATATGATTACAGGCATATAGAATCAACACATACATAAGAAATAAATTGATTTCCAAAACACTGTTAATAAATTTAATTGGCAAAAACTACCTACCCCTGTTGATTCGGTATCCTATTCTGTATAAGATGTGTTCGCAATAACGGATTCTGAATGTTCTGAACACCTCGTACAACATCCAGTTCATGATAAGATGGTGGCGGTTGAACACTATTTTCGGTCTGAATTGGATCACGCCGAAATAAACATTTCAAAGAATTTGCTACATGTCAAACTAAAGAAATGAATAAAGTGAAGGCATAGGAAAATATGGAAATAAAAGAAAGTATAGATGTATAATTTGTCTGACTGCCAGGAATTTATTCAAGAATAATACTCTGCTGGATGATGGTTCAGTTTTAATATGTGCGATCAGATTGGAAGCAGATGGTGCACTGGTACCATTCAGCATCGGATTAGCCATAGGCCTGTGGAATGCTGGACTGTCGCTCTGATTCAAATTCATCTGCAAAGCAATAAAATAACTTATCTTTGGAATTATTTCAACATTTGAGTTTAATATCTAAAATTTCATTGGCCTTGCAATATTTTGTGACTAATGTATGAAACTGTGAAAAAATTACTTCATTAGTGCGATCCAAGATATCGTGAGGCATGGCACTAGCAGCTTCAACAAAAGGTGGAAAATCGAAACTATCGAAGTTCTCGTAATTTTCTATCATCGATGGCGATACTCGTGATGATGAACCGGATAACGAAAGGTTCGATTGGGTACGAGAACTGAAACGACAATTTAAATCAAGGAACTTAAATTGTATCTACTGGTATGTATCATGTGGAAGTGAACCTTCACGACTTTCTCTGGTGATAAAATGTCAGCATATCATTCCTACTATATGATAAAAGATTTTCATTCAGTTAGAAAAATTCAAGAAATGCAATGCCGCACATAAATGATAAAATTGTCTTAGAGGATATCGCATGAAATTAAATTCCCCTAAATCTACACTTGCATAGCGAAAGTGGTAATGTTAACCGAAAAGGTTCAAAATTCGATGAATCCTCTTCACCAGCATATAATTCACGACTCAGCACTGACGCCTGAAAAAGCGCAAATCGAAGAGATCTCATTTCTTTACAAAACTTTTGAAATTCCAATCAAAGCGAAGAATTCCTACTCTTTGCAGAGTATGCTAAGTATAATCTTCATATGTTCCACATGAATTCTATATCTCCTCATTCAAAATCAGCAAATCTAAAGTTTCACAATTTCAACAATTAACGGACCTGTGAACCAACAATGGAGCTACCAGCGCTGTGCAATGTGCTACCACCAGCACCTGCGCGCATTTCCATCACCTTCTTACGGGCACCTCGTCGTTTTTTGTCCATCGCTATCTTAATTGTTGATTTGTTATAACTTGCGAAAAAAAAAAATTTGAAACGGTCACAGTTTTACAAACCTTAGAGACAAAACGTAAAATTAAAACAAGCTCACTCGATATCGTCTATTACAGAGCAGTATCTTAATCAAATGATCAAAATTATTTGACATATCATTCAAAATGCTTTATACGGTTCGGAAAAAATTCTCAAAAAGGACTAAGCAGAAGAAAGATTATGAATATCAGAGCAGATCTGAAAAAAGTTTGACCAATCCATCCGCATCAAAAACCGCTACCTAGCACAGTGACTTTAATTTTCAAGATTTTATGTAAATCAATATAAGCCATCGCATCATAAAAAATGAAAAAGCTATTTTTTACATTTTCTTATTACTACTTCAGAATATGAGCATAAGGTATAGATATCTTTACGGACATTGTTAGGGACCTCCACAATATTCCTTGCGAAACTATTTACTATTGTGTGAGAGAAAGTGAGAGTTTTTGTGTTTTGTTACAAATAAAAACGGAAAAATAATTTTCTAATTCTAGATAAACGAACTCACTCTAAATATGGTTGTATAAAACCACGTAATGGATAGGCTATCTACAGTTATATAAATAACGGTGGGATCTTCATCGTAAGAATCCGTATTTCATGCTATATTAACATCAAAAGCAATATCACTGTCGATAAGGGTAAAACTAATAGTAAGCAATACGAAATAACAAAGCAATATGTTATATCACTTCCTTGACACTGATAAAACGGAAAATTTTAGTGATGAAAATGATGTATTATCTTCACTTCGTTCCTTATTTTCTTTTTTGGAAGCGTGGATAAGTATTGAAGTGAATTTTAGTCAAAGAGATCATATTATAAAGCTAATTATATTAAATCGATCCCAACTTCATTTTAATCGTCCGCTAACTATTAAAATTCTTTAGCAGGGAATGCTTTATGCTTTAACTCTTTCGAAAAAAATATTGTGTTGTCAACGTCTCAAGTTCTCAAAAGAATCATCGCAAGTGGCTGCTTTTTCTACTTTCTTGCCTCTTTTTCTGTAACTAATATTGTACGTAACACAATCTAATTGTTGAAAAAAATCTAATTGTTAAAAAATCTAATTGTTGTTATCTAGACCAAATAAAATTGTCGATCTTAAATTTAATTAAGAGACACTTCCGTGAAAAAAATGCCAATCGAATCAAACACGTGTATCTATGGGATAAAAAAATCATATATAATTCTCTAAAGTATAATTACATCTATCTTTTCTTAGCAAGACAGATAAGAAATAGTTTTCTCAAAAAGAATTAATTTTACGAAAGCGAAATATATGGTGATGAGTGCATACTTTTGTAGTCGTCTCCAGCGTTGCAGATCGCTGTCTTCGCGGGTTCCTACCTGGTTTCGCATCCGGATTGATCACCCACCACGAACTCTTTCCAGCACCTTCATTTTGTATTCGCATGAAGCGACTGTGTAAAGAAAGGTTATGCCGGATTGAATTCTGAAAAAATCATGACAAATACTAATGATTTGAATAATTCGCTCATTTATCATTAAAATTCGATATATTTAAAAAATTGACCTATAAATAAAATCATCACACTTTACGCTTCATGAATTTCATTCATTCATTAAAAATTTGGATTTACAGTCTAGGTAAGTACAAATTACGCAGCTCATTCGAAGACTTTGCTCATCACATTTCAGGCAAAGCAAAAGATGAATTAGGATGAATTAAAGATGAATTTTTTTTTTGCTGATATTTCAAAAATTAGATCTTTACATGAAGATTTATAAAATACATGAGAACCACCTCCAACCTTGAAAAAATTTACGAAAAAAGTGATGGAAATAATGACTCTAAAAAAGTTTTATGTTCACAACACAGTTTAAATTCATAGTGAAAAATAATAAAGAAATTTGTGATATCAGCAATCAGATAAAGAGAGACTCCAATACCACCAAAGTAAAAGGCATTTGAAACGAAGAAAATTCTACCTTCCACCCTGCTGATTGTTCTTGGCTTGTACGACTGCCAAAATACGGTACATTGGAAGCGAACCAGTTGTAAATTTCATTTAACCTCATCCGTCCATTAAAAGCACTCTCCAATGCTCTAGAGATCAATTCTGAGTAACTTTCTGCACCCCAAGGGTTCAGTTTCTTTATGTTATTAAGACCATTTACCCGTTTTCGGACCCGTTTTTTTTTCACCAGTTTTCGTTTTCCACGATCTTCCAGATTCTTCTCAACTGACCCTTCCACAGCACTTGTATGTGCAGTGTAGTACGGTACGGTAGCATCTAAATCTGCGACAGTTGATGCCAATACCTCAGAAATGACACAATTCGCTGGGATATTAGATGTCGAACAAGCAGTACTGTTGAGAGTATCTGAAGGTGGCAAAGATTTAATGATAGACACGCTATTATCGTACGCTGGTCGCAGATTTGAGCTGGATGCTGTGTGTGAATCAACGGGTACCATGGTTAAATTCTGAACTGAACCACCAATACTATGGTGTATTGGTGAAGCAACTGTACTACCTGAGGAACCAGTCAGACAGAGAATGCCTGATGTATTCCCTACTGCTGAAACCAATTTTAAAACCGACAACTGTGTGCTATCATTGGTTGGAGCGATGCTTTGACTTGCGCTAAGAGTGGAATGTGATAGTTGAGGGTGAGTTTGTGATATTGGTAAATGTGTTGATAGTGAGAGTATCGGTAAAGCATTTGCAACATGTTGATTTCGGTTCTGTTCAGAAAAGTGAGATATACTTGGGTAAGAGGATACTCCAGTATTCGATTTCATATTGTTCATATCTGCAGCTGAAAGTCGTATCTCGCTCTGTGTCCGGAATGGAACTTTCTTCGAACAGGGAACAATACTTTGTTTTTCTCCGCTGAAGTCCATTTTTGACGCTGGTTCTGACTCCTGGCCGCAATTTGGTTCTGGAATTAAACTAAGATTCGATCTCAGTGCCTCGGTTAGATTTGTACTGGAAGCAGCACTGATATTTGTACTAGATTCATGGTTCAGTAAATCCGACCTATATCCTCTTGGTGACAAACCCGGATCTGCTGCTTCAATCGCAACGGCACCAAATTCGAGATGGGTTAACTGACGTTCAGGCCAAGTGTGTGAGCGACCACGTTGCTCAAATTCAGCGTAATCATCGAGGTTCAACTCTGAATCTTTTGCTTCCATTACGCCTTCTTCTAAGAGCAATTATCTGCGCATTAAATCTCTTGAACAATTAGAGGAAGGAAAAACAGTGTGGGATGTTTTGCTTTCAGGCGTGATGCCTATTACAATAACAGAAACTGCTGAAGGCGAAATAAGTTGTTGCTCGTATGAAAGTGGTGTTCACTGCCAGAATATTAATAATATACACAAAGATTATTTCAGCGAAATTCGAAAATCCAATCCAGAATGAGGAATGGAATATTTGACAGACCACATCAATAAAAAGCGAAAATTTGGAATGTATGATAGAGAAAGTGCGCCGATAGGTAGAGTGACCTTCGGCCGCTCGATAACGGTTAGCGTTCTATTCGAGATGATGCTGATGAATAGGGGTATGTCCAGCGGGACGATCCGCTGGTCATTCGGTGATACAGCAACTCTTCTATCCTTTGGTCGAGTCCTGGTCCATTGACCCTTCTTCTTAATGTTCAATAGTCCTCCCATCATTTCTCACCACAGCATCCTTCTCATACGTCCAGCAAACAAAACAGTGGAGAGAATTGGAGCAAAATAAGAGAAGCAATTTTCGATATTCATTGGCGGAGAGTTCAGAGAAGAAAACGAGAGCAATATCCAAAAAAGCGCAAGAAGTGATGGAGTTAGAGTGTAGGAAGTTGAATCTTGTGAGAATATATTGGTGACATTAAGACACTAAGTGAAGAGCGAATGGGGTGGTCGAAGGGGACAAATCAAATTTTATAAAGTATCCAAAGAAATTTGTTATTTCTATCTTCTGGAGCCGTTAAACGCAGTCGCCAAATAGCAACTGTTGAAGAATTACACTACCACACTGGACTGGTACTCTTTAACTCTATTACCTAGGCCACCTTTTTTTACTATGATGTATAAAGGAAGTCTGCAAACAATCTCATGCTTTCGTTTGCAAAACAAACGAACTCGTCAAATCTCAAAGTATATCACTACGTGAAATCTATCCGCTGATTATTCTATAGTTCATGCATTTCGATATGTAATCAACCAATCGATGGTATGTCTAAGGTAATAAGAGAATGAAAATATGCTTCAAATTTCATCAGCCTTAATTTGATTTATCAAGATTTTAAAAATTTATCTTGCGCTGTTATCATTTCATTCTTCCAATTATTTATTTATTAGCTTCTTAATTTTTCATCAAAAAGAGCAGGAGAGCAATGCAGATGAACTAATGAGGTTTATCCGGGAACATCATAGAAAGGGAAGAAAAGCTGCGAGGGTTAAAGATGACGACAAATCGTTGCAACATTTCATCGATTGTTGGGAGGAAGGAGAGAACCGGAGGTCATTCAAAGCCTTCGCTCCAGTAATTCGAAAGAATAACCAACCCTTATTTACTTATTCATACGAGTTTTAAAAAAGCTTATCAATTATATTCCTGACTTACATTTGAAGAGGAAATTTAACTTCAGAATCTTATTCCTTATGGTTGGTGGAATGTTGTATTTTTAGTTTATAATTTTCAGAAACATTTCCCTCCTATCTTCACACCATTAAATTTTAGAACTTTTAACAATTCAGTTAATTTGTAACTGCAATTTTCAATCCTGAGGCTGATATTATCGAGAGTGAATCCAAATTCTATCGACGGTTACATTTCTGTGCTGTCATGTGTGTTAAAATACCAACGGCAGTAGATCGGATTGTAAGACTCCTTCCTTTTCCGAACTGACAACTGTACAAAGTAGCAGTATTAGTTGCTGTGTCATTCAGGTCAGTAACACCCTATCTCTATTTTAAAACATCTGTTATATCAAACCGATCAACCGCTCGGAAGATGTAGAACTATTTTGCATGATATGAGATTCGAATGTTATGGATCTCTTTGTCAGCGCAATCAAAAGGTCGCGCTCGCTCAACTGCACGTTTCATTGACCATTATTCATCTTTTTATTCAGTAGTGTAAGTGTATATTTTAGCAGCTAGTAGTAGAAATGCACTAAAGTGAACTTCTCAGTCATTTAGCATACTACCAGTTCTAGTATGTGCCCTCTTTACTCGATATTTCCCCTTGACAAAAAGCTGAATTTCAACAACGACAAAAACCGATAGTCCTACCCCTTTTCAGCAATCTATTATTTCTCAGCAATTCGATGTCGCATTATCATCCTCGTTTCTCTTACTCTCTTCTCTTTTCATTTCTTTGACTGGGAAGCGCTGATGCGAGATTTTCACTTAGTTGTTATGATGATGATGGAGAGAAGGCACTGAGTGTCAGTTATTTTGTGCTATATGTCCGTCCATAAAGCATCAAAAATCATCGATTAAACGTCAAACTATGGGAAATGAATTTCGACAGACTAAAGGTTGAACGACTTTTGAGTTTGGGAATCAAAAAGCGATTTCAAATGAAGGAACCAGCAAACAGAAATTATAGAATTAAAACACTACTCTAATCAGCTGAACTAATAAGCTAGCGGTAAATGCACTTATAGATATATACCAATGCTATCTTTATAGGCAGTCAGAGAATGGCAATATCTCGATGCTTAGAAAATTTACTCCTAATGTTCCTTCGCATGAAATTCTATGAAATCCATTGTTAGCGGTATAATAAAAGTCCCCAAAAAGATTCAGTAAATAAAAAATTAATGATCGAAAAAAGACGAACCTTCCAACCAGCAGAACTGTTGGAATCACCCTTGTCTCTGAAGTATGGAACATTTTGCACCATCCATTCATACACTATAAGAGGAACAACTCAGAAACCAAACAAAAAAATTGAAAATAATATCACAGTTGAATGGCTTTTCATACTTGTCCAACAATAATGACAAAATTGCAACTATTCACAGTTCTACAGCTGTACAGCCCATTATCCACTGATAACGCAAAATGAGTTAATTCATTACCTTGTGAAAGAGTTAGTCGCTTTTCAGGTGAACTAACGATGGCTTGTGTGATGAGATCGGCATACGACATATTACCCCAGGCATTCCGGCGTGTCGTCGATTTTTTACTAGGTACAGCAATACCTGAATCGGATGCATCGGACGGAATGCCAATCGGACCAGTTGAGCTTGTTCCACATGGTACTGGTGATGAAATCCTATAATTTAAACTATTTTTAACACAGAAGTGAAAGAAAGTTCTAGATAAAAATGGAATATATTGTTGTATTTTACTCATTACGTTTTATTAAATAAAAGATGCTAAAACCACACAGCAATGAAATTTCATTTTTTTAAGCACGAAAACTGAATTACCCTGGTGAGAAGGAACCGCTTTCCGGTGAACCCATTAGCGCAACTGTAGAACTAGTACCCAAACGACCATTGCTCAGTTTCTCTACGCTATCGCACAAGCTACAAAGTTTCAAATTAATGGCTGCAAAGTACGACAACAGTATTTACAAGATACAAGAAAGGGTGGAAATAATTATAAGGAAATCCATTATATTTATCAAAAATATATCCCAAATCATTTCGACAACAAAATTCTGAACATCTTTTGATGAACTATTGTTGAAAAAGACATTTTGTGGTAATACAATGATTATAAGCTGAAAAAAAGAAGACGATTAAATGGATAGTTTCAGTAACGATGTAGCAACATGCGAACTACAATTAGATCATACAATTCTAAAAAAATCCACTAACTATACGCATCAAAAAAACAATTAAGTATGCATAAAGTCCGCTGCGACAGCTTAACTAATCAATGCAGTTGTATAATCTCTTATTTATTCCTTCCGATTGCCAAACCTACCAACATATAAGAACCATAAAAATAATGAAAATTTCAACCAACTACTAATCGAAGTCTTGTCACTCAAAATGACAAAAAGAAATGATTTACTGCAACAACGAAGCATTAATAGAAAAAGAAATGCAGGCAAAGATGAAAATCAGTCCATGATTATTTGAATGGCTCAATGCCAAAATATCAGCCAAAAAAGCTTTAGAGAGAATCACAAAAACCAAAACTATAAAGACGAAAGTAAACAGAAATCACGAGATAACGCAATAAATGACACCAATGGGGGAACAATATAAAATATAGAAGGCCAAAAATGCAAATATATCGAACAAATCATAACAGGTAGTTATCAAATTAAAGTTTCTCTACATCATCCGATTTTCTAGGGTTTCGAGTGTTGCATTTTACGTTATTTAGATGCAACCCGAAGTAGGCTACAGATAGGTCTTTGGACTACCCATCACCTTTACACTACGCATTACGGGTATTATAGACATGATATGGATGTTATAGACCGGAAAGAAACCTTCATGTGTCCAACCTTAGCCTATATCGCTCATATAAAACAGTAAAGTTTAGAAATGCAAACGCCAATGATGCAGCTATTCATTCCAGTAAAATAAGGTGATGGTGCTAAAGTCTAAGTGCACTCTGTCACACTGGTAAATTGGAAAATAGAATTTGTAAACTGAATATTCTTAAATTCAATCGATATTAGCAATAGACATGAACGGCTTGTCGAAAAAATTAATGATAACTTTTGAACAATAAAGTGGTAAAAGAGAAAAAGAAGATAAAAAATTGAAAGACACTTTAAACAGGAAATGTCACAACAAGCAATTTTTCATTATGTATGCTTACTCGTGTTCTTCCAGCAAAATAGAACCGGCATTGATCTCAAATTACAATTAGTGTATTACTGACAAGTTGTGTATTTCATGTCTCCTCCACTTTGTGCTATTTACAGTTGCAATTGTTGATGCTTAGTGAATTTTGTATAGTAATTCATGAAGAAAAAGGAGGTATCTGGGAATCCTTTTCTGTTAACTACATTATTGTTCATTTATTCAACGTTTATGTATAACTGAGTGCTATAAACGGTGTTGATGAATGACTGATTGATGGTGGCAATAAGAGATGAAATGAGATATTAGATTTTAGTATACTAGGATCTAAGAAGCAGGAAACTCTTTTGTGAATCATAAACATTCCGCGCAATAGTCATAATCCGAAAAAAGTAAAATTTGAACATATCAAGTTAGACTGTTGCATTGTAAGAATGTTCCCATCCGATTCTTTTTCCTTCATCTTTCCGTCCCTATCCTTTCCGATGCTTTGTTGTTATCTTCCATCCAACACTCTTTCATGGTACTCTTCTTGAATTATATGCTATGCAATCCAAAAAAACTATCAACACCGTCTATACCATTTAGTTACATAAATAAGTGAATGGCAATATAATTGACAGAAATCAACCTGATTACGAGTAGAGATATTCTTTGTTCGCTTTTTACAAATGATCACAAAATTCATTTAACGTCAACAATTAATTCTTATCATAATTATATTCATCCCATAAAAATATATTCCTTAATCAAAATTATATCCATCCCAAGTATCTCAGCAGAAAATGAAAAAAACATGAAATATACTGCCTGAAAATGCTAAAACTTGTTAATAACACAGTGCTATAGAACGTAAATATAGGTTTCCTAATTTTATAGCTTTTGAAGGATAACAATTTGTGGAGCGAAACAAGTATTAGAGAGCTCATATGGATGATTTTAAGATCTGAAACAAGCAGGAATTGAGGACTGAATAACATTCTTAACTACTTATGTTATTAAATAAACTTTTGAAACAAAAAGTAGTAGTGGTCTCAGATATCAGAACTAAGCAAAGTGATACCAATGGACAAAAGGATTACATGACTTTTGTGATGACAATTCTTCAGAAGAGGGAATTAAAATATGTTGAAATCAAAGCAGTACTTGAGATTTCATTGATCTCTACACATCATTATTTGATCTTTTCTGAATTCTTTTTCTTTAATTTGTATAATATAATTCTTCATCAAGAGTGCGCTCGGTCAATTTCAAAGGATTTTTTTGCTGTAGCACTAAAATGAGCATCAATAATGGTTCTCTAATGTTAAATTCAATCTAATTTTCATTCCACATATTATCAAACTTTGTGAAACTCTTTCACAGATCTGGCACTTACTCTTTAAGTATATTAATCTTCGATTTCAAAGGTTTACCTCCTCTCACGAAATATCAAGGACTGCGCTTTGATTAAATTACTACTTCCATTTGACCTAGTAGCTAGAATCAAAAGTAAGAAATAGAAGAATCTAGGATCGCATTCAACAATACATTTACTTATGAAAAAAATGAATTTCGGTACAAAGAAGCCATAGGAGTGAATTATATGAAAAATTGAATAGAATTTCTCAGTGTTACAAGATTCTTAACAAGTCATTATTCTATTCGGAAAATATGTATACTACATATATATTTATAAATGTCTTTAGCTTTGACAAGAGATGCACAATACACAATGCACAGATAACAGTACTAATAAACACTGTTGAGAAGATCGAAAAAGACTGATGAAAAAAAAATAGAAAGCTGTCAAACGTGGTGTTTTAATTGGTGCCATTTGATGGAACCTTACCTGCTGTACTGTAAAACTGAATGAAGAAAAATCGATCTGAATAGAACAAAGAACGGAAAGTATAAAATTGTATGAACTATCATGCTGAATATAACTTTCCCGCACAGTTGTACACACCCGCTTCCCGATGTCTCTCGTAAGAATGCAAGTAATGTCATCAGTAAGTAGCCATAAAATAAAAGCAAAATTGAATCGAACCTAAGGAAAGTGGCTAAGCTTTATCAAAAGGAATGCTTTAATTTACGTAGAATATATATCCTGCAGGATACAATAGGATTAATTGCTGAAATCACGTGAATGGAACTAACAATAGAATTTCAACGCAGCAAAAAAGAAAGGTATTATATTGAATAATGAAAATGAAGTGCATTAGGACGTAAAAACTAATTTTTTATCCCTCTATTAGAAGAGTTTGAACAGCTGGCCATAAATGCTGTCTGATCCAAACAGTTATTATCATTATAGTAATGTATACCACCTAACTTTTTCCTTTAATGTCATTAATAAAATGGAGAATTTATCTAAAAAATTTCATTAACAAATGTTCCTAGCATACTGCAGAGAAAAAAAGGAAAATCAATGGAGAATATGCATAATTACTTCTAAATTTGATGAAATTTAATTAGTTTAATAATGATAGTTAACCAATGGGTAGATTAGTTGTTATTTACTTCATTCCATTAACATGAATATCTACTACGTACGTATTATAGATATCTCTCTATTCGATGATACAAAAAGTGAATTGGAAATTTTCCTTAATGTGAAGAAGTAAAATATATATATTTTAACTCGATTAATAAGGACATATTAATATAAATAGCAATATTAACAAAAATAATAAATATTTGCAACGGCAGTGGTAAGAACAGATAGAATTGATAAATAATACTAACAATTGATAAATAAAATTGATAAATAATACTAACAATTGATAAATAAAATTGATAAATAATACTAACAATTGATAAATAAAATTGATAAATAATACTAAAATAATAAATAATGCTAACAACAATATCAATGATAATTAATAGTAATGATAATAATTAATAATAAATAATATAATTAGTAATAAAAATAATGTAGTTAACACAATAAATAATAATATAATTAATAATAATCAATAACAAATAACACTTAACAATGATGATAATCAATGGCAAATGATAATAAATAATAATAGTAAATAATAATAAACAATAATAAATAATAACAAATAATGAAAAATAATAATAAATACAAATAAAAGTAATGATAATAATAACCAATAGTTAATAAATAGCAATAATAACAAATAATAACAATTAATAATTGATAATGGTAATTAATAATTAATGGCAATTAATAATTAACAACGATTAATAGCAACAATAATAAATAAATAATAAATAATAAACAGAAATGATAATAAAAATAATCAATGGTAGCTAAATGAAACTGTTTTTCTTGGGCAGTGAATAAGGAAAGAATATAAAATATTAAAAATTATTATTATTAATTATTTTAAATCAATCATTAATGTAAAAAAGGATAGGAAAAAGACGGTGCTGATAATAATACACTTACTCAGTCTCCTCTTCCGGAATTTGTTCATGAATCAAAGGACTGGTTTGAGCATTAATATCAAGTTCTGGTCGTCGCATCGGCCAAGTATTACAGCGATCCCTGGAAACTGGCCCCAGATCTTCTTTACCTGTGATAGTAGCGCCTTTCATTGGTATGATTCCTGCTGGTCCTAGTCCAGACGATGACGATGTTGATGAAGATGACGATGGGATAGATTCCATAAGTATGACACCATTATTTGCATCGCAAATACCACCGCCATTACTTCCTCCTTCATTATCACCACCATCGTCATCACCTTCAAATCGTCCACAGCTCGTTGTTGGGATGCCATCCGATGTTACCGAATAACAATCACTGAGAGTAACGGCGTTTTCAGCTGCAGCGGTTTTAGTAGCCGTTACAGAAGTACCACAATTACCAGAAGGTGCTGATAACATTCTCTTTCGCCCAAAACACAACCTGATCAGCAACCAAGTGTGAAGCGACGACGTGTCAAGTAAGAGCAGCAGGTGGACAATAAAATACAGCACACACAAGTATCCGAATATTCCCTTCGATACGTTTAGAAAATGAAAAATAATCGACCACTTATAGCAGAAATTGTAAGGTAGCCACAGCGCCTTTAATCTGTTAAGAAATTAACATTTAGTTGAAGAAACCAAAATGTGAAACATTTGAGTAATGACGAAATGAAATGAATCGAAGAAATTCAATAATTAAGACAAATAAAAGCACCCTCCGAATCAAATATACAATGTAATTGTATTTCAACGATTTTCGTTACAGACTTGCTCAACAATTGAGTTATAAAGCGGGTGATTTCTAGCTTTTAAATTGAAGATTGTACTTCAATTTAAAAACTATCATAAAAAACTTCAACGGTGTAAAACTGGCAACTTCATAAGTAAACCTTTAATTTTGTTCACAAAAAAGTTAAAATCCGCAATATTGGACATGGAAAGTTAATGCTGGTTCTCTTAGATGATGCTTTATACAAAAAAACAATGATGAAATCCAATAATGTACAAAGCTACAACAAAAATGATTTTAAAATTTGAAATACTTGTTGAAAAATTGCTCCTATATTTTTATGGATTGTTTTATGCTAAAATATAAAAACTGGAACGTCTAAATATTCGAAAAAATTCATGCTAATTTATAGCGTAAATTCTCAACATTTGGCGAATCAAAAGCACTGTCACATGACATAATCTATAAGAAAACAAAAATTGGTGTAATTGATTTGTGTGTAGTAGAAAACTGTCATAAAGCAAATGTCACCATAAATAACATGACGTGAAATAGTTGGCGAGAAAATGCGTAACTGCTAAATTTTTAATTTTTAGAGTTTTTTTAATTATTTGTTTAGGCATTAATCTATTTGCAAGTTTCAGTTACACTTGTTACATGCAAAAATTTATGTTGCATTTCTCATACCATAAAAAGAGCACAGACTCAGCTGCACTCTTTCCACAGGTGAATCATCAACTATATTTGGTTTAAAAGGATATATATATATCGACATTCCTAATTATTGTAACAATAATAAGTATTAATTATTAAATGACAATGTTCAACAGAAAACAGTTATCTATTGAGTGAAAATGAAAGTTTCAGAGAGCAGGGAAAAGGAACTGCAAAGGTTGAAAGAGTGGATGCCACATCTGCAAAAGCAAAACAGCATGCATCAAAATGTTCACTTTGCAAGTAACTTCCTGCAATAGTATCGTAAAAGCATACTATAAATGTTTCTACATAATTTTTTTGATCAAAAAACGCTAACAAATACTATTTAATTTCGTTACTGATTGGCAGCTTCAAAAGTAATTCTTTAATTTTGTTCATAAGTAAAGTTAAAATCCGGAATATCGGACATGGAAAATTAATGCTGGTTCTCTCAGATGATGCTTCATACAAAAAAGATAATGATGAAATCTAATAATGTACAAATCTACAATAAAATTGATTTTAAAATTAGAGTTTTTTAATTTTAAAATTAGAATTTTCAATCCTGAAAAAGTCTATTTATGAAATGAATGAGATTGAAAAGAGAAATGAATTGTAATTAATCAGAAATGAAGAAGTAATCCAACAGTAGCAGCACATCAATGTGAAGAGTTTTTATGAAAAGTTACCTGAGAGAGTGGTTGAGTAGGAAGAAGAAACAACAAACATGTGCGCCACTGGCATGAAAATGGGAAGAACCGGTCTGAAGCTGATCAGATTCAAGTTGACGACGTCTTGATGGTGACGATAGTGTCGACGATAACAGGTAACAACCAATGAGCCAGCCTGCATTCCCCAGAAGTAGCAAAGAATGGTAGAAGACAGCTAACAAGCACTCCCTCCTCCCCCCACCCATTGCTTCCTATCAGCTGACTAACTGACTCACTCACTCACTCACTCACTCACTCACATGGGCATGCACACCTCTTTGAAATTGTTCAATTTAAATGGAAGAGGCTCAGCGATAGATATCCTGTGTATGTGTATGTCTATTTGTCTGTATGTGTATGTGTATGTGTGAGTGCGAAAGATGTAAGCCAGACCCAGCATCCGTTGACACCATGCCCTTCCCTCCATTCAAGCAAAGCATCAGCTCCTCATTCCATTCTCAAAATCCCCATTTTACGTATTTTGTTCTCTGTCGGTACAGTCTTTTTCATTTATTCGTCTAACTTAGGGTATACATCAGGTGGCCTCTGAACTTTTGGCTTACCCATCCTATTGTTGAATTACATTTTAATCTCAGAATGCAATACTGAGAAATTTAAGATCACAGCAAAAGCCATATAATTAATTAATTTCTACCACATAAGAATGCTTATTAAGAAAAGTTACGAAAAATGAAGTGAAAAAAAGCGAAGACCGATTCGAATGACCACTCTGAACTAATAATTAGTAACTACAACAACTACATTCCATTAAATAAAAATTTCAGTGAGGACATCTTCTGTGACACTGTGAAAGTAGAAATAGAAGGGCCTCATATGGATACACACACATATATACATATTTGCTTTATTACACAATACACAGGTAACTATCGCGTATTACAAAGCGAATTATTTAAAATGACATTTGTAGTACATATGACTCAACTTTGAGACATGGCACTTTTAAAAAGTATTTCTGAAATTAAAAACATAACAGGTACATATCTTGCATATCTATCCAAAATACGTAAATAACATATATCGCAATGGCCTTATCAACTGATAAGTAAAATACCTAGCACTGTAATGATCTTTGTGTGATAATTACTTGCCCTTCTTACTACATTATATACTATACTGTACACAATATATTATATCAGCTAAAGGAAGAAAAAAAGAAAAAGTGAAGTAGGAACAGTAATAATTCCCAACTATGATAACCGGTTTTTCATCGCGTTATGTCGATAACCAAAAATAATTGGGAAATATTTAGTAGCCAACTGGCAACATTTTTTCTTCCGACAGACTTTCCTAGTTCTCGAAAACGCTATTTCACTATATACGACATCTCTCAGTAGAAAGTACATAACTATTTGAAGTTTCGTATTCTCTTCTGCAATGCCTATCAAAATGGAGGGTAAGTACCAAATAGACATTCAAATTAGTAAAAACGTAAAATTAAATACTATCAAATAGCTTCCGAATATGAAATAAATTAAACAGAAGCTACATTCAATAATAATTCAATATAATTTGATAGAGTATATTTATAAAAATTATATATGAAAATTAAAAACTGAAACGGAATATTATACGAAATCTAATTATTGTTGAGAATGATTAATGATAATAATGAACTGAAAAGATTAAGAGAACATATTTATAATGTCGAGAACTCATATTTTCATGAACCTTATTATTCATTCTTTTTTTTTCATAAAAGTTCACAGTACCTTTATCCTTCAATATCTTAACTTCAGATACTACAATGGCTCATTTGTGGAAATGATTAACGAACTTATGGAAAAGTTATAAGAATGTCAAAATTTCACATCCGAGCATTCCTCTCACTACTTTTTAGCATCTCCTCTGCCATTCAAAGTATAAAATATAAAAATTCGAAATAATGGACACAGATGACCTAATCAATCATAATATGCTATACAGAAAACTGTATTCACTATCCTTCTCTATGCTATATAAAAATTGTATTCACTATCCTTCTCTATGCTATATAAAAACTGTATTCACTATCTAGAAAATTGAGAACCTTTGCTTAATTTATTTCAATTTCAACAATGCACTCATATTTTCCCTCAACTGGTAGTGAAGATAAAGTAAAGGGATGACAATACTTTAAGTGCTAAGATTATTCCATTAAAAGAAGTAGGTGTATGAAAGTATCAGTAGAAAGGAGCAACACAGAAGACGCAATCCAACAAGAATAAATCATATCACCAAGGGAACGAAAAGTACAGCGAAATGTAAAATGACGATTCGATCGCTGAAGTGTAAACCTAAATGATAAAATTGTCTTCGAAAAAGTTTATGGAACGATAGTGTCATCTCTTTCTACATCAATTAAGCTAAAAATAGCACCACTCACACTCCTATTTATAAATCATTTCTCGATTTACATGAGTTAATTTATATGGGGGAGTAATTTCCAATTTCATGTAATAATCTAATATGAAACGATTAAATCAAGTTGATTCTCTCCCATTGTTAAAATACATGCGAAACAATTTCAACAACAAAACAATTAAGTTCTACAGTTAACATTACTGTATCGCAGGCATTATTAACTTCGATTTACTAACCAAAAAGATGTTGACCCGATCAATTAGCTAAAGCTTAATAATTCTTAAATGATTTTTATACGGGAACTTTGGATAATGGAAGAAAAAAAGATGCATTCCAATATTCTTTTTGTAAAACTAATCACGAAGTGCATAATGAATCATTGATGGTCACAGTATCAATGATTTAAATGAAAGGATAACTAAATTCTTTAATCTTTAATTTTTATCCAAAAAAACTAGAACAAGATATATGAGCAAATTATTCGTTTCATCTTTTATTATCAATGAAGCTACTACATTCTTCACTGCCTATTTGTTGGTAGCTACTTGATCAAATAAACGAAAAGGAACCAGAATAACTTTCAATCACCATATTTTCTTTAAATTAATATATTAACGCGGTCTTACAAATAGTCTTCCTGTTCACTAGAAAATGGTACTTATCAGCTTTGTAATTTCGATATCAGCTATCACTTAAATTACTAATGCTATCATTATCAGAAAAATTACAATCATCATCACTGCAAACATTACCACCAATTTCAAAGTGCTATTATGGTTAGCACAATATTCAGCACATTTCATTCCCATCGATTTTTATTTCGATGTCGCCGCAATAAGTCCGTTACATTTGCGGATATAAAAATTGATTCTCGCAATGAATGGAGTTGCAAATACCGCAAATACCTCATACTTTCA